TTATTGATATTGGTCTATAGTTGTTAACATCTGTTTTTGTTCCTGATTTATGTATCGGTATTATATTACCTTTTTTTAAAATTGAGGGATATATGCCAGAGTCAAAGCATTTGTTGGTTAGGTAAGTGAATGGTTCTGTTATGTCCTCGGCTATAATTTTCAAATGCTCGCTTTTAATGCCATCGAACCCAGGACATTTCCGATTTTTTAAGGACATAACAGTGGTGTATACCTCACATTGCTCGACTTTATCCAAAATAAATGAGTTCAAAGTTCTTTTTGGAGGCTGAGTATTTTGTACATTTGCTTGTATATTACTTGCTAAATTTTCGCCTATGTCACTAAAGAATTGTACAAATTCATCGCATATCTGTTGAGTATTTTTTAATACTGTTCCCGATGTTGTATTTAACTCAGTGACACACTCTTTAACTTTTGTTTTCCCAGTAATCTCATCAATAGTTGTCCAAAGCCGCTTAGGATCATTTAAGTTATTATTCAATTTATTTAGGTAATGTTTTCGTTTGGTTTGCCTTACAAGCTCTATAAATTTATTTTTATATTGGTTGTAGCAGTCGGTATTCTCTGTAGTTGGCGTTAGTTTCATTACATTATATAGTCTTTCTTTTTCTATTGCCGATGTTATTAATCCTTTGGTAATCCAGGCATTTCTACTTTTCTCTTTGTGACTAATTATTACTTTATTGGTACTATGGTTCAACAAAAATCAAAATTACATTATCTCAATTGAAATTAAACCCGATAATGTTAAGAGATTCAACCTTGCTAAGAGAACAAGTCTTGAGGGCTTGTTTCCCTTTATTTATTATTTTGTGGTACGGACATGCCTCGTTTGCGACTGGCTAGAATCCTACTTTGTCAAAAAACGAGTAATAAAATTTCCAAAAACTGTTTTTTAGGTACGTAGATTCCGAAATCGATGTCAGTTCAGTGTTAGGTTTTTTAACCAATTTTTCTCCCCAAATCCGGTCCAATGACACGTTGGAATTTTGTCTTATACAAAGATAGTAGATTCCGAATTCGATTATAATATGTTCTATGGGTCGCTGAAACCAAAATTTGGGGCCCAGTAAGTCCGAAAATGTGGCAAGAATTCTACTTTGTCAAAAAACGACTAATAAAAATCTCCAACAACTGTTAAAACTTTTTCGCTATATAATTATACTAAGCGACATATAAATCCAAACACCCAGTTTAAATGGTTTTATTTTAATAAAAGTTGGTGAATGTATTAATCTTACTGTAAATAACAAGTGAAAAAATTTTCAGCCTTATCAGTTGGACATTCCGGTTTTTATACTGCTTTTTTTTAATTCACTAACGCTTTAAAAATGAATATTTCAGCCGCAGTAAACAATCAACGTTGGCGGATTTTGGTTCTTGACATCCTTTACGATCGGTTACGATGCCTAGAGTACGGAGACCTGTACGATTTCGTCAACTTAGTGAGTTTGATAGGGGCCGTATAGTGGGACTTCGGGAAGCTGGACTTTCTTTTCGGGCAATTGCAGTTAGAGTGCAAAGAAGTGTAGACACTGTGGTTAGGTGTTGTCAGGCATGGCTTCGAGAAGGCCGTACGCAAAGAGCAAGGGGCACTGGATGCCGCCGTAGAACAACAGACCGTGAAGATCGCCGCCTAAGATTATTGGCCTTAAGGGACCGTTTCTCCACTACCAGGTCCATTGCAAATGAATGGTTTGCAGAACACGGAAGACCTATTCGCATGCGAAGTGTTTACCGACGAATGAGAAGTTTTGGCTTGTTTTCATACCGGCCACACTCGGTCCTCCCTTTAACTCGAGAACACCGACGTAATCGCTTTGAGTGGTGCAGACAACGGTCACTCTGGGATCAGGAATGGAACAGTATTGTCTTTAGTAACGAGTCTCGATTTTGTTTCGGCCTACACGATCGTCGTGCCAGGGTTAGAAGGCGACGTGGTGAAAGGAGGAATCCACAGTTTTTTGTTGAAAGACATGTTCATCACACTGTTGGAGTTATGGTTTAGGGTGCTATAGCTTATGGTTCCAGGTCACATTTAATCTTCATCAGAGGTAACATGAACGCGCAGCGTTATATCCACGAAGTTCTAGAACCCCATCTTTTACCCTATCTTGACACCCTGGCAGATCCAACTTTCCAACAAGATAATGCCCGACCACATGTTGCAAGAGTCACAATAGACTTCTTTCAACATAATGATGTCACATTGTTACCATGGCCAGCAAGATCTCCCGACCTATCCCCAATTGAGCACGTGTGGGATATGATGGGTAGGAGATTGCTCAATTTGCAACGTCCTCCTCAGACTCTAGAAGCACTTCGAGAGGAGTTGGTGGTTGCCTGGAATGAGATACCACAGGAGGACATTGACCACCTGATCAGAAGCATGCCTAGGCGCGTTGGAGAATGCGTAGCACATCAGGGTGCATCCACACATTATTAAAGGTCAAAGGGCTTTAAAGCAGTGCAATCATTTTGAAATTTTTATCATTTACTTATTATGCTCCATTAAGTACTTATACAAAATTTTATTAAAATAAAACCATTTAAACTGGGTGTTCGGATTTATATATCACTTAGTATAGATCTACATGATAAACGAGATCAGATACGTGTGAAATTACTTCGGATTCGGTTTCAGCGACCCAAAATACGTTCCATAGAGGTGATTTTAACTGCATTTAAATTATTATAGTTGTTAGTATTTTTACAAAAAGGCAAAAAAGTGTCAGTCGGAAACGTGAGCCCAACCATTCTTACAATACGTTTTTTGGGCCACTGAGTGCTAAGTTGACATCTTGTAGAGAAACCTACATAATGACAAAAAACCTATAAAATGTCAAAAAACAGAAATAATGTCTCTTTAAAAAAAAACGTCAAAAAAACCCTATAGAATGTCATCTTGCAGACTAGGTAGTTTTTAGGGTGCGAACAGTCATGCCACGTTTGCTCACTAGGATCGTTGTGAGCGTCCATCTATGGAGGAATGGCTCAACTACACGCATTGTTGGTTGCATATGTTTTGTGAAGCCGAGTAGTCTGTAATTTTCATCCCTAAGGAGAAATTTGTTTGAATAGCAAGATCACATTTGGATGTGTATAAAATCAGTGATATTTGCTGTGTGAGGAAATCATTGCTGAATATGCTGCCAATGAAGCATATGTATACTAAGTGACATATAAATCCGAACACCCAGTTTAAATGGTTTTATTTTAATCAAATTTTGTATAAGTACTTAATGAAGCATAATAAGTAAATGATAAAATTTTCAAAATGATTGCACTGCTTTAAAGCCATTTGACCTTTAATAATGTGTGGATGCACCCTGATGTGCCTCGCATTCTCCAACACGCCTAGGCATGCTTCTGATCAGGTGGTCAATGTCCTCCTGTGGTATCTCATTCCAGGCAACCACCAACTCCTCTCGAAGTGCTTCTAGAGTCTGAGGAGGACGTTGCAAATTGAGCAATCTCCTACCCATCAAATTTCACACGTGCTCAATTGGGGATAAGTCGGGAGATCTTGGTGGCCATGGTAACAATATGACATCATTATGTTGAAAGAAGTCTATTGTGACTCTTGCAACATGTGGTCGGGCATTATCTTGTTGGAAAGTTGGATCTGCCAGGGTGTCAAGATAGGGTAAAAGATGGGGTTCTAGAACTTCGTGGATATAACGCTGCGCGTTCATGTTACCTCTGATGAAGATTAAAGGTGACCTGGAACCATAAGCTATAGCAACCCAAACCATATCTCCAACAGTGTGATGAACATGTCTTTCAACGAAAAACTGTGGATTCCTCCTTTCACCACGTCGCCTTCTAACCCTGGCACGACCATCGTGCATGCCTAAACAAAATCAAGACTCGTCACTAAAGACAATACTGTTCCATTCCTGATCCCAGAGTGACCGTTGTCTGCACCACTCAAGGCGATTACGTCGGTGTTCTCGAGTTAAAGGGAGGACCCAGTGTGGCCGGTATGAAAACAAGCCAAAACTTCTCATTCGTCGGTAAACACTTCGCATGCCAATAAGTCTTCCGTGTTCTGCAAACCATTCATTTGCAATGGACCTGGTAGTGAAGAAACGGTCCCTTAAGGCCAATAATCTTAGGCGGCGATCTTCACGGTCTGTTGTTCTACGGTGGCGTCCAGTGCCCCTTGCTCTTTGCCTACGGCCTTCTCGAAGCCATGCCTGACAACACCTAACCACAGTGTCTACACTTCTTTGCACTCTAACTGCAATTGCCCGAAAAGAAAGTCCAGCTTCCCGAAGTCCCACTATACGGCCCCTATCAACCTCACTAAGTTGACGAAATCGTGCAGGTCTCCGTACTCTAGGCATCGTAACCGATCGTAAAGGATGTCAAGAACCAAAATGCGCCAACGTTGATTCTTTACTGCGGCTAAAATATTCATTTTTAGAGCGTTAGTGAATTAAAAAAAAAGCAGTATAAAAACCGGAATGTCCAACTGATAAGGCTGAAAATTTTTTCACTTGTTATTTACAGTAAGATAAATACATTCACCAACTTTTATTAAAATAAAACCATTTAAACTGGGTGTTCGGATTTATATGTCACTTAGTATATTAGCTCTGCCTGACGGGTTATTTATATGTTGTTCTTTCTGAAGACAGGTTATGTTCAAAGTTATAAATTACGATTTTCTAATTTTTTTTGTATTTTCAAAAATTTTGTATATAACTCACAGCTTAGACCTCCAGTAATGCCATCTCTGAAGCAGATTTTACACCACATCAGGGCCAAACATTTGATAACTGAAGCCTCATGACGTACAACACGTACAACTACCAATCGAGCTCACGACGTGTCCTTCAGCTAGTGCTAAGTTAACATCTTGTAGAAAAACCTACATGTCACAGAAAACCAATACAATGTAAAAAAAATTACCTTCAAGATACGTAATACCCGTGCGAGTTGCTTTAAGTGAGAACAGTGCCTAATAAGACTCATTTTTGGTTTTGGTATATATTTATTATATCCTATTGCACCACAAATGATACACCAACATCAAACATTAATAAACATCACTTATAGCTCAGTTTTATATAGTAGATACGTGATGCGATAAACTTCTATATGTTCATATAATAACTAACATCCTAACATGCATAATATATTATATTCTACATTCGGTTCTAAACCAGGTACCCATATCGGCCCAGTTACTTAGCGGATTATATATTTGACAGTTGACAGATCGACTGTCTTTTTTGTTGTTCGGACCCTTACCAGCCGTTTTTGATAAAATGCGATATTTCCATTTGTTTGATTCAAGATTAGATACAGATTATTGTCTGTTCACAATAACCTCACAAAAATTAGAGATTTTCGGATATCAAATGACAAAACAAACGTGTAGTTATATATGACATTTAAAGCTTGCAAACAACATCAAGGTCCCTTATAACCACCAGAATGAGACTCGTTTTGATTGGCTCAGCAATTCTATAAGTTCATAACCTACTTGGTAACATTGACGAATATACTAGTATATGTTGCTTGGCAATCATAGAAGGGCTTTCTGTGTAGAGATCAGAGCGTTTCACGAATACAATTTTCTTAACAATGGCCTAAAGGTGAAGAATATCTTATTGCCCCGCTCCTTTTTCTTTTCAAGGACCGGATTCAGCGCAGCCATTCACCAAACCCTTGACGGGGATTCTTCGGAGAAAATTTCGACTTTTTTTAAATTACGCTCTCATCATGTGGACATAATCGATAATATTTTTCAAATTTCACTGGTCAAGAGAGAATAGGTCCGTCATACGTAACGTTACAAATTGTGCGCGCCTATATACTCCAAAATTTATATTTTACTCGTCTTCCTCCTCGTTTTGATAGGTGACGTATCGCACTGATGATTTTTCACCAACGATCAAAGACTGAAACAAAAAAAAAATATTTTTGAAATAAAAAAATGATAATTTATACACAGCTTAAATGTACTGTACTACTCTATAAGATGGCATTTTTATTTCTGATTCTATATATATATATACTATAGAGAAAATGATCATGTGGAGAAAGGTATATAACAAAAAGCAGGAAAATAATGGGCAAAATCCGCAAAAAGGAAGAAAGTGGATTCGACCATTATTTTCCTACTTTTTATATATATATATATACATACAAACTCAGAACCATCTGTTTTCACGTTTTCTTAATGATTAAGGGTTGGGGAACACGATACATAGGGTCTGACAAAATGAAGGTCGGTATACGGACCTCACTTTGTATGTAAATTTTACATGGGAGGTCCTCACATTGTATGGTGGGCAAATATATATATATATATATATACAGGGTGTCCCAGAAGTCGACGTCAAGCCGAAACCGGGTGATAGGCAAAGTCATAACAGCTATCAGAAAAATATTTAAAAAAAATTTATGTATGTGTTTTGAAAATTATAGGTCTTTGAAAAAAATATAGAAATTTCACACCATACGGCAGTCTGTCAACTCCTGTTACTACAAATATTAACTTTTTTGGATTTTATTTTTACAATGTAATGATGAATAATGCATCTTCAAACTGGTGTTTCAACCTTACTGCCAACTTTTCTCGTTCAGGAAAAATTGCCACTTATTTCCCAACCAAGTATTCCAAAGTAAAACTTTGCTCAACTTTAACTGGCTGTACTGGAAAAAAATGTACTACGAGAGTTTGGCAAGTAACCTTAAAAGTTGGCGCATTTAATAAGGATTCCAAAATGGTATAACACTTAGAAGATTACTCGTTAACTTATGCACAATTTTTATTTGAAGAAAAACTGATGAAAATTTTTCAAAATTTCCTAATTAAACAGCGATTTTAAAAGCGCACAAGGACCCTTAAGGATAACTGTTTGCACAACAGTGGGCGTCAAAATGCTGCTGATGATGATTTACCTTTACAGCAAACGCTCAAACTGTTTTCCTTCAGCCGCAATACACGCTCGACATTTTCTTAAAAAAGATCGGGTTATTAAACGAGCGAATCCACGGTTATTAACAAACTCAGCTGCTTCCAATAGTCTTTGCCTTAGTTCAGCTACATTTTGAATCGGCTTGAAATACACTTTTTCTTTTACAGTTCCCCAGTAAAAAAATCTAAAGGATTCAAATCAGGTGATCGGGCTGGCCACGGTATTGTACCAGACCGCCTTATCCATCTGCCTGGAAAGTTTTGATCGAGATACTCTCTCACTGAGAGTGCATAGTGCGCTGGGCAGCCATCTTGCTGAAACCACATGTCCCTGTAAATACTCAGGGGCACGTCCACCAATAAATTTTGTACATGATTTTTCAAAAAATCCAAATAAACTTCAGCAGTCAAAGTTTCTGGGAACTCAAACGGACGGATTATTTTACCATTTAAAATTCCTGTCCAATGGTTTATCTTGAAGCGATATTGAGATTTATCTTCTCTCATCAAATGTGGGTTTGCTACGTGCCACTCGTGTAAGTTATGCAGGTTGATGTACCCATCTTTCTTAAATGTGGTCTCATTAGACCATAACATTTTTTCAAAGAACTGGATCTTTCCTGTGTCTTTCTAACATTGTGCGGCAAAAAGCAACTCGGGGCTCATAATCCCGGGGCAGGAGAGGTTGAACACGCTGTATGTGGTATGGATGAAGCACATCACTTACTTGCTATTGCACACTTTGATACCGATCAGTACTCCTTCGTTTACTGCGCATCTTTACATGTTTGTGCTTGTTGATTTCGTACTGTTACTAATTTTGGATTCGTGAACTGGACTGTTGATCGCTTGTGATTTGGATTTGGACTGTTTAATTGCTCTTCAAAACAACATTTGCTTTCCTTAGACTATCTTTGATAGTGTGATTGTGCAGTGCCGCTGTGTCCGTGTACACCGTACAAGAATATGCTAACATGCACCTCATTTATGGGGAATGTAGATGCAACGCTAGTGCTGCAGCGAGACTTTACTGTGAGAGGTACCGGAATGCAGCTCGTCATCCAGATCATCGAGTGTTCACAAATGTGCACCGCTTACTGTCCTCAGAGGGCCAACTACCAAACCAATCACACGGTGAGGGAAGATCTTTCCTTCCTTACGAAGACGTGGTGCTAGGAGCTGTCGAAGAAGACCCGAGTACTTCAGTGCGTGCAATAGAACTAAAAACAGGTGTGCCCAAAAGTACAGCCCATAGAATCTTCCAAAAAAACGTGCTCCATCCATACCACGTATAGCGTGTTCAAGCTCTTCTGCCCCGGGATTATGAGCCCCGAGTTGCTTTTTGTCGCACAATGTTAGAAAGACACAGGAAAGATCCACGGTTCTTTGAAAAAAATTTATAGTCGGATGAGACCACATTTAAGAAAGATGGGTACATGAACCTGCATAACTTACACGAGTGGCACGTAGCAAACCCACATTTGATGAGAGAAGATAAATCTCAATATCGCTTCAAGATAAACCATTGGACAGGAATTTTAAATGGTAAAATAATCGGTCCGTTTGAGCTCCCAGAGACTTTGACTGCTGAGGTTTATTTAGGTTTTTTGCAAAATCATTTAGAAAATTTATTGGAGGACGTGATACTGAGTATTTACAGGGACATGTGGTTTCAGCATGATGGCTACCCAGCGCACTATGCACTCTCAGTGAGAGAGTATCTCGATCAAAACTTTCCAGGCAGATGGATAGGGCGGTCTGGTACAATACCGTGGCCAGCCCGGTTACCAGATTTGAATCCTTTAGATTTTTTTACAGGGGAACTGTAAAAGAAAAAGTGTATTTCCAGCCGATTCAAAATGTAGCTGAGCTACGGCAAAGACTATTGGAAGCAGCTGAGTTTGTTAATAACCGTGGATTCGCTCGTTTAATAACCCGATCTTTTTTAAGAAAATGTCGAGCGTGTATTGCGGCTGAAGGAAAACAGTTTGAGCGTTTGCTGTAAAGGTAAATCATCATCAGCAGCATTTTGACGCCCACTGTTGTGCAAACAGTTATCCTTAACGGTCCTTGTGCGTTTTCATAATCGCTGTTTAATTAGGAAATTTTGAAAAATTTTCATCAGTTTTTCTTCAAATAAAAATTGTGCATAAGTTAACGAGTAATCTTCTAAGTGTTATACCATTTTGGAATCCTTATTAAATGCGCCAACTTTTAAGGTTACTTGCCAAACTCTCGTAGTACATTTTTTTCCAGTACAGCCAGTTAAAGTTGAGCAAAGTTTTACTTTGGAATACTTGGTTGGGAAATAAGTGGCAACTTTTCCTGAACGTGAAAAGTTGGCAGTAAGGTTGAGACACCAGTTTGAAGATGCATTATTCATCATTACATTGTAAAAATAAAATCCAAAAAAGTTAATATTTGTAGTAACAGGAGTTGACAGACTGCCGTACGGTGTGAAATTTCTATATTTTTTTCAAAGACCTATAATTTTCAAAACATATACATAAAATTTTTTTAAATATTTTTCTGATAGCTGTTATGACTTTGCCTATCCCCGGTTTCGGCTTGACGTCGACTTCTATATATATATATATATATGCATCCAGTCCAGTCTTCAGAAGATGACCATACCAAAGTAATCTTTTTGTTTGAATCGTTTCTAAGATGTTGTGGTCTACTCATTCTATTTAAAAGAATAGTAGAATTTTGATTCCAAAAATGTATAATATGCCATACACATCGTGTGTACAACAGCTAGTGCTAAGTTGAAATCTTGTAGAAATAATAATGTCATAAAATACCCGACATAAGGTAACTTTTCAAGATATGTAATGCCCCTGCTGGAAGTACTTTGAATTTCGATGTTTTTTAATTACCTAAACACGCAACTTTGCGCCCATTTCATATCTCTTACAATTTCCGAGAAGAATAACATTTTTTTAAACAAAAATAATATTAATACGTGCGAATCGTCCTACTATTGTTTCAAAACGTAGTTTGAAATTCATGTATGTAGTGTTTTTCATTACCTTTTTTTCTTCCTTAGTCGGTGGACTTTTTAGAGAATACAACAAGGGAGCATACAAGAAGTTCAAAATCGCAATACCAAAGAGCATCCATTCGAATCCTATGTTGTTCACTAGGGTCCCGCTCATCGCAGGGCCTGAAAATAAAAAATATTTGCTATACTTCATCCGTCACAGTCGATATTGTAAAAAATATCCTGGTACTGGAGTGGAGCTTGCAAACTCGTGGAATGCCTTGACAATCTTGATACATACGAATGATAGAAAGGTTATGAAACATCCTCCTCAAGGAAGTAGGTGGTCTTGCTCTCTGCCCTTTTTCGCGAGTAACCATCACGCTTTGACGTCTACTGAAGTGAACAGCTGATCAGCAAGTGACATTTTTCCGTTAGTCTGCGACATTGGCAATAAAAAATCGGGTATAAACTTTTCTAAATAAAAGAGCTGTTAGCAAGTACAAGAAAGTCCAGCTTCCCGAAGTCCCACTATACGGCCCGTATCAAACTCACTAAGATGACGAAATCGTACAGGTCTCCGTACTCTAGGCATCGTAACCGATCGTAAAGGATGTCAAGAACCAAAATCCGCCAACGTTGATTCTTTACTGCGGCTGAAATATTCATTTTTAGAGCGTTAGTGAATTAAAAAAAGCAGTATAAAAACCGGAATGTCCAACTGATAAGGCTGAATATTTTTTCACTTGTTATTTACAGTAAGATAAATACATTCACCAACTTTTATTAAAATAAAACCATTTAAACTGGGTGTTCGGATTTATATGTCACTTAGTATACAATTTAAAATAAATCTAAGAATATATAAATCGATTTGATGGTCAACCGAGTGAACTAACGAAAAAGAGAGAAAAAACATATTCAATTGACAAATCCACCCTCTGTTAATTTACCAAAAAGGAACCAGATGAGAACGTATAATGATTGGACGAAAATAGAAAAAGAAAACAAAAGGAGAAGATCATAACAGATCCAACTAGAGAGTGAATTGTTCATCATTAAGCATCGGATCAACAATAATTGATAGCCAGTGCTAAAAATGTAACCTCATATCAGAAAAGATCGACTTTTCGGAATTTGATGACCCTCCTACCGCTATTAAAGATAAGACAATACAAGAAACGTCTATCTACTCGTAATCTATCCAGCCTTAAGCAGTCTGATGATATATTAAGTAGATATGTTTTACAAAAAAGAGAAAAAAAAAACACTATCCTGCACGCTAACGTTTAATAAAAATAAATCTCACTTTTGCACGAATTTTTAAATTGTTTAAAAGTCAGTGACCGGAGATTATGTAACACGGTGCATTACACTTATTAAGCAGGCTATTGAATTCTGATCCTACACAAATGCATATACATATAATGCAATAGCTAATTTTTGTCGCAGAATATTTAAATATATTATTATTCTACTTGGAAAGCTTGTTCTAAGTGGCGTAAATGAGTATTTCGAATATATTAATATAAAATAAATTGTTTATTGTTAGTATCTGAACGCTATTGTAGAAATTGTGGAAAATTGCATTTGATTAAACGTCGACGTTCGTTAAACTTGGGACGTTGAATCCGAATATGACCATCAATTAATAAAAGAAAATAATCCAACGAAATAAGGGCCGTCTATTACCAGAATCCAGCACCGCCAGAACGAATAGCAGATATCGGTAATAATGTAGATGGCGTTTTGTAGTCGGGGCAGTAGCACCCCAAAGGTGTGAGCAGTACTCGAGGCTAGGTCTTATCTGGACCCTGCTCAGAGTCAGGAGGACGTCCATGATGGAGTTGGCAGCATAGAACTTTGCAAGCACTTTCCCCTTAGCCGTCTTAATGATAATGATAATGAATATACGAATCCGATTTATCTAAGGATCAAGTTGTATGATACATATTTCTTCAGACCCGCTTGATAAAAAAACGTTTGCATTGAAAATAGCAGCAATAGGAATTTATTTTGTGATTTAACATACAATATAACAATGGCGCTTGACTCATACTTCTTGACTTTACTAAAGCATTTGATACGATTCACTTCTTCTGTCCAAATGCAGTTATTATGGATTTTCTAAAAAACCTCTTTCGTTTATCAAACCTACATTGAAAATCGGTATCAAAAAGTTCGTCTAAGCCAACAGTACTCTACCGCATACAACTTTATTCTGGTGTACCACGGGGATCTGTGTTAGGACCCCTGTTATTTTCATTATATACTAAGTGACATATAAATCCGAACACCCAGTTTAAATGGTTTTATTTTAATAAAAGCTGGTGAATGTATTTATCTTACTGTAAATAACAAGTGAAAAAATTTTCACCCTTATCAGTTGGACATTCCGGTTTTTATACTGCTTTTTTTTAATTCACTAACGCTCTAAAAATGAATATTTCAGCCGCAGTAAAGAATCAACGTTGCCGGATTTTAATTCTTGACATCCTTTACGATCGGTTACGATGCCTAGAGTACGGAGACCTGTACGATTTCGTCAACTTAGTGAGTTTGATAGGGGCCGTATAGTGGGACTTCGGGAAGCTGGACTTTCTTTTCGGGCAATTGCAGTTAGAGTGCAAAGAAGTGTAGGCACTGTGGTTAGGTGTTGTCAGGCATGGCTTCGAGAAGGCCGTACGCAAAGAGCAAGCGGCACTGGACGCCGCCGTAGAACAACAGACCGTGAAGATCGCCGCCTAAGATTATTGGCCTTAAGGGACCGTTTCTCCACTACCAGGTCCATTGCAAATGAATGGCTTGCAGAACACGGAAGACCTATTGGCATGCGAAGTGAATGAGAAGTTTTGGCTTGTTTTCATACCGGCCACACTGCCTCCCTTTAACTTGAGAACACCGACGTAATCGCCTTGAGTGGTGCAGACAACGTTCACTCTGGGATCAGGAATGGAACAGTATAGTCTTTAGTGACGAGTCTCGATTTTGTTTAGGCATGCACGATGGTCGTGACAGGGTTAGAAGGCGACGTGGTGAAAGCAGAAATCCACAGTTTTTTGTTGAAAGACATGTTCATCACACTGTTGGAGTTATGGTTTGGGGTGCTATAGCTTATGGTTCCAGGTCACCTTTAATCTTCATCAGAGGTAACCTGAACGCGCAGCGTTATATCCACGAAGTTCTAGAACCCCATCTTTTACCCTATCCTAACTTTCGAACAAGATAATGCCCGACCACATGTTGCAAGAGTCACAATAGACTTCTTTCAACACAATGATGTCACATTGTTACCATGGCCACCAAGATCTCCCGACTTATCCCCAATTGAGCACGTGTGGGATATGATGGATAGGAGATTGGTCAATTTGCAACGTCCTCCTCAGACTCTAGAAGCACTTCGAGAGGAGTTGGTGGTTGCCTGGAATGAGATACCACAGGAGGACATTGACCACCTGATCAGAAGCATGCCTAGGCGCGTTGGAGAATGCGTAGCACATCAGGGTGCATCCACACATTATTAAAGGTCAAAGGGCTTTAAAGCAGTGCAATCATTTTGAAATTTTTATCATTTACTTATTATGCTTCATTAAGTACTTATACAAAATTTTATTAAAATAAAACCATTTAAACTGGGTGTTCGGATTTATATGTCACTTAGTATACATTATTTATCGTTATTGTATACAGGTATTAATTTTCTATAATTGTTCAGTTTATATACACCTCATATTGTTTTCGCCTCTTGTGATGTTATTACAAATAAAAAAGACGTTAATTATTATTAAATTCTTCTAAAGCTCTCTTATTTCTTTTATAAATATAAACCAAAACGTTACAATATCTCAGGATTTCCTCGATATATTAATTACAAAATTACCAGTCATTGAGAAAGACAATACACTATAAAAACGGCGATACAGAATGCAACTTTAACATCTGATTAAGTGCAATATCATTTCAATTGTTATATAATCAATCTATATCTAAAAATATATTATACAATTTTTTAAGTAATATCCACAATACATTGTTTTAAAATGTTCTTCCTCAATTTCTTTTATCTGGGTCTAGTTAAGTATTTCATACGCTGTTATATAAGCTGCTATTATTTTGTATCTCTTAGTAAATCATCTGTAAAGCAGCAAGTTCATAGACACAAGCGTTTGGTGACATTTTTTTCGGACAGTGAAGAAAGTAGCTACATAATATTTAGCATTCGCGTCTTTGGTCTCGCTTTTTTTTATTGTGTCTGTCCAAACGTGATCTTTGAAAATTGCGAAATGTGTTCCGGGATGTCATAAATGAAGCCCACAAGCATATTTTCCAGAACCGCAGTAAGTTCGGGTCTATATTCCATAAAAAGTATGGTGTAATAATTAGTAAGTAAATTTACCTACTTTTAGTGTTCTAATACGAGATGTGTTCCGCGAAGTTTCAAACACGACAAGCTGGTACTACTCCATATCTTACAAGTTATCAGACAAAGGGGTATCAAATAAACCTAATATTAAAAAAAATCGAGTATAAAATGTCTTCCACAAATGGAGTATTTATATTTTTTATATGTCACCGACATTCATAGTTTACCTTTCTCTCTTATGGCATTCTTCAAGCATACAAGCTTTTCACGAATAATAATTAACATCCAGATTAATGCACAAATAAACATTTTTAACTAATTACGATCGGATAAATGTAAAACATGTTCCAATTTCGCCTAAAACCGGCGAGTCTAGCCGCATTTCAGACACGAAAGTAGGAAACAACAAAACAACTCGAACCGCCGAAATCGACAAGTGTCTCGGAAAAAATGGGGAAAGCAGTCAGTGCGTTACGTAATGCGAAATTATCGTATTTCAATATCGATATGTGTGCGAATGCGTGGATTGTTTATGCGACCAAGTGTACCTGTCAGTGGCGCAACTAAATTTGATTAGGGATATATACTAAGTGACATATAAATCCGAACACCCTGTACTTAATGAAGCATAATAAGTAAATGATAAAAATTTCAAAATGATTGCACTGCTTTAAAGCCCTTTGACCTTTAATAATGGGTGGATGCACCCTGATGTGCTACGCATTCTCCAACGCGCCTAGGCATGCTTCTGATCAGGTGGTCAAGGTCCTCCTGTGGTAACTCATTCCAGGCAACCACCAACTCCTCTCGAAGTGCTTCTATAGTCTGAGGAGGACGTTGCAGATTGAGCAATCTCCTACCCATCATATCCCACACGTGCTCAATTGGGGATAAGTCGGGAGATCTTGGTGGTCATGGTAACAATGTGACATCATTATGTTGAAAGAAGTCTATTGTGACTCTTGCAACATGTGGTCGGGCATTATCTTGTTGGAAAGTTGGATCTGCCAGGGAGTCAAGATAGGGTAAAAGATGGGGTTCTAGAACTTCGTGGATATAACGCTGCGCGTTCATGTTACCTCTGATGAAGATTAAAGGTGACCTGGAATCATAAGCTATAGCACCCCAAACCATAACTCCAACAGTGTGATGAACATGTCTTTCAACAAAAAACTGTGGATTCCTCCTTTCACCACGTCGCCTTCTAACCCTGGCACGACCATCGTGCATGCCTAAACAAAATCGAGACTCGTCACTAAAGACATTACTGTTCCATTCCTGATCCCAGAGTGACCGTTGTCTGCACCACTCAAGGCGATTACGTCGGTGTTCTCGAGTTAAAGGGAGGACCCAGTGTGGCCGGTATGAAAACAAGCCAAAACTTCTCATTCGTCGGTAAACACTTCGCATGCCAATATGTCTTCCGTGTTCTGCAAACCATTTATTTGCAATGGACCTGGTAGTGGAGAAACGGTCCCTTAAGGCCAATAATCTTAGGCGGCGATCTTCACGGTCTGTTGTTCTACGGCGGCGTCCAGTGTTCCTTGCTCTTTGCGTACGGCCTTCTCGAAGCCATGCCTGACAAAACCTAACCACAGTGTCTACACTTCTTTGCACTCTAACTGCAATTGCCCGAAAAGAAAGTCCAGCTTCCCGAAGTTCCACTATACGGCCCCTATCAAACTCACTAAGTTGACGAAATCGTACAGGTCTCCGTACTCTAGACATCGTAACCGATCGTAAAAGATGTCAAGAACCAAAATCCGCCAACGTTGATTCTTTACTGTGGCTGAAATATTCATTTTTAGAGCGTTAGTGAATTAAAAAAAAGCAGTATAAAAACCGGAATGTCGAACTGATAAGGCTGAAAATTTTTTTACTTGTTATTTAAAGTAAGATAAATACATTCACCAACTTTTATTAAAATAAAACCATTTAAACTGGGTGTTCGGATTTATATGTCACTTAGTATAATAATAATAATTAATATACTCAGTGACATTTGAAGTGTTACATCCAGCAAAAATCAATTCCTTAAACTTGGAATGGAACGATAACGTTCTCATGTTTTAATAAGAAAAAAAAATAATGTGTTGGGCGACCTCGCAGCTGAGTACACTCCTGTTTACGTCTAGGCATCGACAAAATGGCAGGGTCTATAGAGGATGGTGCAAAGTCCATAGTCTCCTCCCCCCCGTCATACGAGGGATGTCTTTTAAGTTTTGCATATAGAAACATAGTAGGCCGCGCGGATCGAACGTCAGTACTGAATCTTAACCTCACTCTTTAGTAAAAAGATAGATCGGCCGTGGAGGACCAGTCGCCTGGCCTCCACGATCCCCTGACCTAAATCCATTAGATTTCTTTGTGTGGGGATTTCTAAAAGAAAAAGTGTACAAGACTCCCCTAGTCACAAGAGATATGCTAATAGACAGAATCAGGAATGCATGTGATGAAATAAGGCCTTATTTGAATAATGCTATACCACGTTCGATCATTCGTAGATGTGAATTGTGTATTGAACAATTGGGTTTACATTTCGAGCAACTAATTTTTAGATTTTGTATGTTTGTCCTAAGTATCCAATAGCATTTTAGTTGTAAATAATTAATTTAATTTGTTAAAAATAGTATTGGAAAATTAAACAAATTAATATTCTGTTTTTTTGTGTTTATTTGGAGTTAGGAATCATTGCTGTGTTTAAAAACACAATCTAAACGATCATCTTAATTACTTGTAATGTCCAAATCGAAAATGTAAAAAAAATATTATTTTCCCATAAATAATTAAAAATGCATCGGACCTTAAAAATCGAAATATCTCAATAACGAAAAATCACAGAAGAGCTTTTTTATGCAGAAAAGTGCGAAGAATCAGTTTTTTTATTCAAAAAGCAAAAAATTGCAATAAGAAAAAATTTTCGGTCATTTGAATACACTACAGGTTCAGTAGAGAGAGCCCTCTAGCGGCTACAGTAAAACTATGCCCATGGTTCGTTTTGTCGTACCAAAAAACCCTTGTATACCAATTTTCACTGTTATACATCAAATATTGTTCGAAATATCTAAAAAAAACTATTTTAGAAAGTAAATTTAAACACCCTGTATTTCGGAAGCCACGCATTTTTCGACCCATGTTTATATAGACTTTATGCATTAATTTTAAAAGTTCTATCGAATCTTAAAGTTATGCAACAATAAACTGAAACACCCTGTATATCTATTCAAATACTGACCTATAGCAAATCCTAAACAAAACGCCACATCTCCAATGGCGTACACGCTCCCATACACTGCAGAATGCCGAATATCCACCAAATATCCAAGTTCTGGCATCATAGAGCTATCCACCATTCCGATCGCGAATCCTAAGCCCGCGTTCGGTATTATCAGATGATACATGTTGGTCGCTAACGGAATCTGAAAACAGAAAATACATCTTTTATCCCAGAAAAAAGATATATGATGGATTTATGTCAAATAATTATCATAATTATATATAAAGATTGTTCGGTTTCTATGAATGACCGAGTCTCACACCCTAACAAAACAATTCTGCAAATAAGAAACTTCTGAGAAGCGTAACTTTCGCATTTTTTAAGATATTCTAAGTTTTTTTCAATGGTGTATTTTACTTTATTTTGACTATCATTTCAAGTCTGTTTTAAAAAGATTGCATCATGTAGAGAAATACCCTTCCGTACCCCCTGTCACCCCTAACCCCCAATTCTGAACCGCTCATGAATTTCTCCGAAAATTGTCAGGATCGTATGGAACATCGAAAAACGAGGTTTGAGCGATGTTTACTTTTTTGCTGTATCTCTAAAAATAAAGTGGTGAGAGGTATTCAAAGGCTTCCATCTTCGAAACAGCTGAGCCAATTTTAACAAACTTGGGCCAGTCGAAAGGAGCCTTTCTTTAACTACAAACGTTATAATATTTGAAGCTTTGTTAGTTTCAGATGTGGCCGCTAGAGGGCTTTTTCGACATTCCGACAGAAATGGCTAATTTTCTCAAAAAAATTAAATGCATTGGGATAATTTCTTTTATGAAAAAGTAGCTAAACAATGTCTAAACAAGCTAGCGCAAACCGCATCTCGATATCTTGTCCCTAACCTAACATTTAGACCAACGAAAATTTTATAGAGAGATCCCTTACATTTTGATTTTTTTAAACATTTTTCTAATTTTTTTTTTGTATTATCAAGTTGTGGCCCGATTCAAAAAGGATACTGACCACCACGCTCTATCCATTCCCGAATATTACAATACTTCCTCGCAAGTTTTGACATATAAAGTAAATCGCTCAACTTTGTCAGCATGTTCGTCACTTTTGAAGACAGTGATTTTAAGTTTTAGGGCTATAAAGTACTCATAAAAATCTTCAAAATGAGTTTCACATGACCGCAATTTCCGTCTAAAAAGATGCCTATCCGCCATTTTAAAATATTCAACTGTTACCAGCAGGCGTGCGAAGTAACATTGAAAACTTCCTCATTCCGGTCGATGTTTGTTTACGGAAGCGCGTCAGGATTTGTAGGCCATTCCAGGGCTTAAGGAAACTATAAACACCCGATCTTTCACCTCGCAGTCAAAACTTTATCGCCTTGTCAAATGTTTAATTTGGGAACCAGGAGCCAAGTCCATACTAAAGAGTGAGTAACGATTTCCCATCCAGAGCGTGTGTTTTTGTGGATAATGTTGATGCCCTTGCTCAATGTTCTTCTTTCACGTTTCTGAATTGCGAATTATTTTTAACTGCAATCAGCTCTCTAATCGCACGTTTGGCGACGGCGGTTTCCAACTTACCAACATCAAGCAGACCCCAATGATGATCAGTCCCAGAAGAGCTGCTAGCCATCGTCCCATACGGTGTCCCAGTGGTCCAAACAAATTCGTCCCGATCAAATAGCAGATGCTAGCAGGTAGGAAAGTTACACCCTGTTCCCATCGATCAGCGCCCATGGTGTCCATCATCCAAATTGGTAGGGAAGGTTCCAGCATCGCTATGCCCATGTTGGCAAACGTTATTGCTCCTGGAAAAATTAAAAATATTTTTTGACCGTCCTCGAAGGCAAAAATCTAGCGCGGAGCCAAAGCCGGCCTCCTTTGGCTGTATTTGGCGACCCTGAGTGTACCAATACTCTAATTTACTTGTTAGCTCACTGATCTGACGAACGTTCCTGATCTCCTTGATATGGGTCGATTTCAAAATCCATGGTCCCGAATATCGCAGCCCTTAGACCGCATAACACGTCGCAATAGCCCTCCTCCCAGCAGATGGGGCAGGTTGCATCTCTCTCCACCCTGAAAGGGATGTGTGTCCGTTCAGTCTGCAGTGGCCGGTAAGAATCCCCACCAAAAGATTGAGTCGTTTGCCAGGTCCCGCTATGAACCTCTTGGCCTGTACGCCCATTCTGCAAGGGGAGGATACCCTCCTTATAAGTAGTCCTCAACGTCGCTTTAACAGCAAGTTTAAGGAGTATCCGACCAGGGCGAAGTGGGATTCCGGAAGCCAGGAGGTCTCCGAAGGAAGTGGGCAGGTCTCGTACACGGACCTAGAAACTAGGCTCTCAATGTCTCTCTCGGCGTATACGTCATTATTTTCCAAGCGGAACTCTATGCGATTCGGGTTTGCGTATCTCGCATTTTGGAGAGGGAAGATCCTAGGAGAAGAATCCCAGATCACCAGGCTGCGATGAAGGCACGAGCCTTGTATTGCAATGCCGGGAAGATCTGGATAGCTTAGCAGCAAGGCATACGGTATCGTTAGAGTGGGCACCTGGGCACGTTGGGATGAAGGCTTGCGAAAGCAGGACTAGCGTGCAAGCTTGTTGGTCCTGAGCCAGCTCTAGAGGTGCGCAAGCAAAGAGCCAGGATGATGACGGAGAAGTGGATTTCTAGACAACACCCTCTGAAATGGCAGCTCATTTAAGGGCCTACGATGGACGCTTTTGCTTATCTTTGGATAGAGTTAACCCAAGGTTGCTGGTGGGACTCTCAATGTCTCTCTCGGCATATACGTCACTATTTTCCAAGCGGAACTCTATGCGATTCGGGTTTGCGTATCTCGCATTTTGGAGAGGGAATATCCCAGGAGAAGAATCACAATCCCTCCGATCGCCAGGATGCGATGAAGGCACGAGCTTTGTATTGCAATGCCGGGAAGATCTGGATAGCTTAGCAGCAAGGCATCCGGTATCGCTAGAGTGGGCACCTGGGCACGTTGGGATGAAGGCTTGCGAAAGCAGGACTAACCGGCAAGCTTGTTGGTCCTGAGCCAGCTCTAGAGGTGCCCAAGCAAAGAGCCAGGATGATGACGGAGAAGTGGATTTCTAGACAACACCCTCTGAAATGGCAGCTCATTTAAGGGCCTACGATGGACGCTTTTGCTTATCTTTGGATAGAGTTAACCCAAAGTTGCTGGTGGGACTCTCAATGTCTCTCTCGGCGTATACGTCACTATTTTCCAAGCGGAACTCTATGCGATTCGGGTTTGCGTATCTCGCATTTTGGAGAGGGAAGATCCTAGGAGAAGAATCCCAGATCACCAGGCTGCGATGAAGGCACGAGCCTTGTATTGCAATGCCGGGAAGATCTGGATAGCTTCGCAGCAAGGCATACGGTATCGTTAGAGTGGGCACCTGGGCACGTTGGGATGAAGGCTTGCGAAAGCAGGACTAGCGGGCAAGCTTGTTGGTCCTGAGCCAGCTCTAGAGGTGCCCAAGCAAAGAGCCAGGATGATGACGGAGAAGTGGATTTCTAGACAACACCCTGTGAAATGGCAGCTCATTTAAGGGCCTACGATGGACGCTTTTGCTTATCTTTGGATAGAGTTAACCCAAGGTTGCTGGTGGGACTCTCAATGTCTCTCTCGGCGTATACGTCACTATTTTCCAAGCGGAAATCTATGCGATTCGGGTTTGCGTATCTCGCATTTTGGAGAGGGAATATCCCAGGAGAAGAATAACAATCCCTCCGATCGCCAGGCTGCGATGAAGGCACGAGCCTTGTATTGCAATGCCGGGAAGATCTGGATAGCTTAGCAGCAAGGCATCCGGTTTCGTTAGAGTGGGCACCTGGGCACGTTGGGATGAAGGCTTGCGAAAGCAGGACTAGCGGGCAAGCTTGTTGGTCCTGAGCCAGCTCTAGAGGTGCCCAAGAAAAGAGCCAGGATGATGACGGAGAAGTGGATTTCTAGACAACACCCTCTGAAATGGCAGCGCATTTAAGGGCCTACGATGGACGCTTTTGCTTATCTTTGGATAGAGTTAACCCAAGGTTGCTGGTGGGACTCTCAATGTCTCTCTCGGCGTATACGTCACTATTTTCCAAGCGGAACTCTATGCGATTCGGGTTTGCGTATCTCGCATTTTGGAGAGGGAATATCCCAGGAGAAGAATAACAATCCCTCCGATCGCCAGGATGCGATGAAGGCACGAGCCTTGTATTGCAATGCCGGGAAGATCTGGATAGCTTAGCAGCAAGGCATCCGGTATCGTTAGAGTGGGCACCTGGGCACGTTGGGATGAAGGATTGCGAAAGCAGGACTAGCGGGCAAGCTTGTTGGTCCTGAGCCAGCTCTAGAGGTGCCCAAGCAAAGAGCCAGGATGATGACGGAGAAGTGGATTTCTAGACAACACCGTCTCAAATGGCAGCTCATTTAAGGGCCTACGATGGATGCTTTTGCTTATCTTTGGATAGAGTTAACCCAAGGTTGCTGGTGGGACTGTTGTCTGGCAATAACGCATCTGCATGTGACGGGGGTGTTTAAGGATGCCATGTGTGAGCGCTGGAGGTTAGAAAAAGGATCTTTAGTGCTTGTTCTGTGTCGTTGCAAAACTATACTGGGCTTTAACACTAAGGATTCTCAGAATGTGAAGGAGCTGGGACTCAGGGCTATACTCAACTTCGCTAGAAGGGCGGAGCTAAGAGAATGTAGGGGTGTATAAGAGCCTGTTATGTGGCGCATGCGCCGGCTTATCGTGCTGGCCGATATGCCGCTAATTTCATTTATTCGCCTTTGGTTCTTTGGACCTTGGCTCTTGACTGAAGCTAGTTTGGTCTAGATGCCCAAACATCAGACAAAGTAAAGGAGAACGGAAGGAAGAAGAAAGGAAGAAAGGAATGGGTAGAGCAAAGATGAAGTACGAGGATTAATCCAGAAATAGGGAGTCCAAAGAGCTCCAGTCACAATGAAGGTGTAAGGCGAAATATGGCGATGCTGCTACGCGAGGTTGTTCCCTCACTCTCGATTCCCCTCGGTTGCGCTTCGTTGGACTGCTCATTCTTGGCTCAACAGCCGCTCAATATGAGGCTTTCCATTTTCGATCCCGCCAAGTGCCAGATTAGCTTCCATAGACTATTTATACTGTTTGGCGTCGCCGGTGGTTGGTTGTGATGTGTCCCTTGGATTACTGTAAGCATTTTCATTCTTCACTATCAAGGCCGCTTTCTTGAATTTTCTTCGATGCCAGTGTGTAAGATCCTAGCATGATCCCAAAGCATCATGTGGTCCTTTGCCGAGGCAATTCCAGATTAATTCCTTTCCCCCAGTTCCGTGTTGGATTTATGCTCCTTTATTCTTACTGAGTGAGGTCTTTTTATTTCTCCTATGTATGTCCCTCCGCATTCACATGGTACCTGGTATTCTTGGTTGTGTATTTTCGCTGGGATGCGGTGTAATTTTAAAAAAGAACAATTGAAATAATTACCTGCTGCGATGATGATGTAAGGATCAGACACCAAAGATCGTAAAGATGGAGGATCTGAGTCCTGTCTGATGACAGAAGGCTGGAGCATCAATAGTTGCAATACTGCAAATAAGATAAATTTCAGAAACATTCTAATGCAGTTTTCAAATCAAAGTTTCCCTTCATTAGATAACCCTGTCATATTAAAGAAGTGAAATATTGGAGATGACGCCAATAATGGACCGCTTTGTTTGTTTAATAAATAGTAGTAAATTCTTACCTCCATCTCCCAACGCCAAGGCGCTGAGAATCAAAAATGGCGCCGATTTGCCGACGAACTCGTACATGACCCCTCCAAAAGGAGGTCCTATGAGAACCCCCAAAGCTAGCCCCCCCAATGCGATGCCCATGGCGTTTCCTCGTTCTTTGTCATCTGGATAGCGTTCTGCTAACATCCCCATGCCTGAGACACTGCTGCAAGAAGAGCCTATTCCTTGAAGAGCTCGTGCTATGAACAAGACGCTGTAGCTTCGACCAAATGCAAAAACTGAAATAAAGAAACGTAATTCTGGGTTTACATAAAGTTTAAAGATTTCTGGAAATTAAGTTAATGCGGCTTAGGTATCTTATTGCCCCAAGTCCTTCGTTTCAGGGTTATTTAAGTACGCAAACGAAGCGAGATATGAAAGAAATTCAGGAGGCAACGAAGTTGTATTTTTAGCTGCAGAGATATTGGTTTGGCTGTTTTCCGGGACGCCACTGTATTTAATCATTCTAATCTAATTGGCTAAATTAGCTTCTTTCTGCCCTTAATAACAATGTTAAATATAAACAAAATCGACTGCAAGCTTATCAAGATATTGAGGAAAAACTGATTTAGAAAAAAGTTTGACACCCTGTATCTTGAACATGAACCATTTCAGATCTACGTTTATATAGAGTTTTCATCTTAAAATTGCTCAAAGGGTCACCTCCTCAAGTTTGGCCGCGTATATTGGAAGTGGAATTATTAAATACATCAGAAGTGGGATAGAAATTCTCGTTAAATTGCCATCTTGCAACTCTTCGCTGGAACAATAGATGGTCTGATTGCATGTACATACAAAATCGAACTGGAAAGAGCACCAGACGCAGCTTGCCGGATCCCTTTTTATATCTGTAATTGGCGTAACGTCTCCATTAGTCTTGAAGTCTCCGGCTATTAGCGCCGGCTGATTGAGTTACGGCCGTCGCAGTCTGTGCCGTCGACATCACAAAGCACCTTCAGATGTTTCGCACTCCTCCAAGGCTAATTCGATTATCGAGGCGTAATGTGCTAAATCTGGAGGGCCGGCAACCGGCGACCGTTTGCAACACATCGTTTCGAAAGGAGGTATCCTGATACAGATAGGGTTAATCGAACCATACCCTATATCTTATATCGGAGGGGTTAACGAGGATTTTGTCGCTTCAATATAGAAGCAACTTATACAGGGTGACTTCGAAGTTGAGTCATTTATTTTAACAGTGAGTAGATCTGATCAAAAGAAATGTTTTTTTCCTTTACCATTTTTCTGGTAAAATTAAAGTAACAAAGTTATAGCCCTTTGGAAGTTTGAGTACCGCCCTGTCTCAATAATAATATTATGTGCTCGTGTTTGGCGACAACGGATATAATTCGCCTTATCGGTTCATCGCATCGGAAACAAACAAGCGAAAGAATTTGGAACGATGTTTTTACAATCATTTCATTCAGTTGAATACAGTCAGTGTCAGTCGGTAGTGGATAGTGGTGTCTGTTGCGTGGCTCAAACGAAATAAAAAATGGCACATGTTTATGCGGATCGGTTACCCAATAGAGTGCAACCAACCCCTCGTGCCTTTGTTAATGTAGTACAACGGGTTCGTGAATCATTTGACTTAAGACCTCACATATGGACGGCATGCTGGTGCTCCAAGACCTCACGATCAAATACAGGTCCGCACTCAAATACTTGTCGGGAGGATACTTTATAAAACAAGGTAAAATTTTTTTTTTATTTTTACACACATATTTTGGTTTATCTTCCTTCTACAATCATTATCTGAAAATTAATGACTCAACTTCAAAGTCACCCTGTATCTTCGCACGAAAGACACCGTTTTACTTACCAAGAAGTTCGAAAATGATATAAGTTATAAATCATTCAAATACAAAGTTTCGTCGGGTCGGACCTTCCGTACCGCCTTTTCGCCCTACTCCGACTGCCTGCTTGGTGTCCTCCCCCGCCGACGCCCGAAATGATCTCGCGGCTCTCTTTTTACCTGATTTTCCACTTTTGCATTTCCGCCTCAAGGAAGTCCGTTTAGAAATTCGGTAACTACTCCTTGCAAGTCCTGGTCCGTCTCGAAGCGTTGACCGTCTACGTGCTCCTTCAATTTCGGAAAATGTCAGGGCTGTAAAGGGAATGGGCAGCGACTTTCAGCCAATTCGCTTGATTAAGTCGTTCGTTTGTTGTGATACATGAGGATCCGCATTGATGTTGTGCAGTCTTACGCTTTGGCGAGTTTTACCCTACGACGATTTTGGATTGGCGGTCTCAAGTTTTTAAGAAGCCTCAGGAGTTGTTTCGTTGTTCATCGTGGATGTCGGCGCGACCGTCAAAACACTGTCTTCACCATTTGAGGACATGTTGAATACTTATACACGTTTCCCCATACACTTCAATCAACCGCCATCTAGAAGCTTGATGTATTGTCCATCGAGTGGTTTATTCTTAAGTCTGCTTACTCAGTGCTCTGCGATTTTGCGTTTTATTTCCTGATTTATGTGACTACTCCTTTCTTCAATGTTAGACTTCGCCCTGATCTTCTCCATCTTTTGCGATTGAATACTTTGTTCTTGTTCCTTCTTGCTCTTTGATATTTTTTTCTGCTTTCAGATATTCGTTTAATCCAACCGTGGCTTATTCATAGGTTGATTCCAGCTCCAATAAGCCTCTGCCACCTTCTTGTCTCTTCATATAAAGGGTTGTCCAATAGGGACGCAGGATCTTTGTTTTCTGTCACCGACATGTCATTTTGTTAGTGGAATGTTTACCATTGATCGCTATGGAGTCGTATTCGATTGAAGACCGCATTAAAGTCATTCAAGAGCACTACAAAAATGGTGCAAAAATAAAAAACACGTTTCGCGCGCTTCGTGAACATTTCGGTCGCAACAACCGCCCAAACGAAACAACCATCGGTCGTCTGGTGCGTAAATTCGAGGCAACAGGTTCTGTGGCAAATCTGCCAGGCTCTGGCCGGCCAAGGAGCGTTCGCACACCGGAAAATATTGCTGTTGTGAAGGAGAGTGTGAGAGACGATCCGATACAATCAACAACGCGTCGATCCCAAGAATTGGGCATTTCGAGAACCAGTTTGCTCCGCATTCTCCACAAGGATTTGAATGTACACGCCTACAAGATCCAATTGACGCAAGAGCTGCGTCGGGTCGACAATTTTTCGCGCCGAACGTTCTCAGATTGACTCCTTGAACAACGCCAAATTGATGCCAATTTTTCATCAAAAATCATGTTCAGCGACGAAGCGCATTTCACTTTGAATGGGACGGTAAACAAGCAAAACTGCCGCATCTGGGCGAACGAAAATCCCCGTGAGTATCAAGAGCAGCCGATGCATCCTCAAAAAGTGACTGTGTGGTGTGCATTGTGGTCAAAAGGCATCATCGGACCTTACTTTTTCGAAAATGCGGCCGGGGACGCCGTTACCGTCAATTCTGAGCGATATCACGTGATGATAGAGGACTATTTTTTGCCGCAACATGAAGGAATGGATACGGACGATGTTTATTTCCAGCAATACGGTGCAACATGCCATACAACCAACGTCAATATCCATCGATTGCAGTCCTTCTTCGGTGATCGCGTGATTTCGCACAGAGGAAATGTGCCATGGCCACCAAGATCGTGCGATTTGGAATTCTTTTTATGGGGATATTTGAAAAGCAAAGTCTACGTCAACAGACCAGCCACCCTCCAAGAACTCAAAAACAACATCATTGCCGAGATAAATGCCATAGAACCGATCATGTTGCAAAATGTCATTGAAAATTTCGACCATCGCGTGGACGTCTGTAAATCCAGTCGTGGTGAACATTTGAGCGATACTATTTTTCATTCATAAATGGTATAAATGAACCTTCAAAATAAAGTACCCAATTTGATTTGAATATCAATCTTTTTTGTTTTAATATGGGGTTACTTTCCTGCGTCTGTTTTGGACAACCCCATATAATCGGTCTACACTACATCATCCTGTGGTTGGTGGATCTTTCCTGATGTAATAAGTTTCCTTGTTTTTCTGTCCATTTCTTCTCTTAATCAGTCTTATAAACCTGTAGTTTAATTCTGGAACTGCACTAGCGTTAATGGCTGTTTTGTTTTTAGAGGATAATTCCGTACCAAGTATTTTCCTGATCCTTCTATATCACTCATTCTGAAGCTGCCCCTTCATACTTTTGTTGTCTATTCCGTTTGCCTCTTCTGATCCAAGGTACTTGTACGTTTCTTCTGGGCCCACATTTCTTATCTCTATGTTAGTTCCTAAGTCTATATTGTTGGTCTTTATCAGCTTTCCCCTTTTGAGATACCCCGGTGGAACATTTATCTATGCCGAAATGTATTCTCACATCGTCGGTGAATGTTTTTACTATTTTCAGGACCAGTCCCATTTCTTCATCTGTTCTGGTGTAGTTTTAAATAGTTTTAAATCGTCAAGGTATAGTAGATGCTCAATCTGATAACCTAAATTTTCTGTATTCAGCATGTTTGTAAAAGGGACCATTGCAACACAGAAGAGGAGTGGTGAGAGTGAGCCTTCTTGTAATATACCTTTTTATATCGTTATTTTCAATGACTTCTCCATTCTCTTGATAGAGTTTTATGTTTGTTTTCCAAGCTGCCATTGAGTTGCTGATGAATTTTTGAATTGCCAGACATATTTTATTGGTCTAGTATCTAAGAATACTACATACATACACATGTTCTTCCTTTGTTGGTTTGCCAAGTCCATAATTATTTTGTTCAGTGGTTGTTAATCTTTACATCCTCTCGAGCCTTTTCGGCATCCTTTTTGTTCAGCTGGAAGTAGATTGTTTTCATTTAGGTGGTGGTAGATTCTGTTGCTTAGGGTTTGTGTGAGAATTTTGTAGATCTTCGGTAAACACGTGATCGGTCTTCGGTGTTTTTACCCTTTGGTATCAGAATGACGAGTCTCGATTTTGTTTAGGCATGCACGATGGTCGTGCCAGGGTTAGAAGGCGACGTGGTGAAAGGAGGAATCCACAGTTTTTTGTTGAAAGACATGTTCATCACACTGTTGGAGTTATGGTTTGGGGTGCTATAGCTTATGGTTCCAGGTCACCTTTAATCTTCATCAGAGGTAACATGAACGCGCAGCGTTATATCCACGAAGTTCTAGAACCCCATCTTTTACCCTATCTTGACATCCTGGCAGATGCAACTTTCCAACAAGATAATGCCCGACCACATGTTGCAAGAGTCACAATAGACTTCTTTCAACATAATGATGTCACATTGTTACCATGGCCACCAAGATCTCCCGACTTATCCTCAATTGAGCACGTGTGGGATATGATGGGTAGGAGATTGCTCAATTTGCAACGTCCTCCTCAGACTCTAGAAGCACTTCGAGAGGAGTTGGTGGTTGCCTGGAATGAGATACCACAGGAGGACATTGACCACCTGATCAGAAGCATGCCTAGGCGCGTTGGAGAATGCGTAGCACATCAGGGTGCATCCACACATTATTAAAGGTCAAAGGGCTTTAAAGCAGTGCAATCATTTTGAAATTTTTATGACTTACTTATTATGCTTCATTAAGTACTTATACAAAATTTTATTAAAATAAAACCATTTAAATTGGGTGTTCGGATTTATATGTCACTTAGTATACGTCACGCCACAAGTTTTCTATCTCCTCAGCATTTGGTGGCTTCGTCACTTTCCCGTTGTTGTCACTATTTATCATTCCATAGAACTTTTTTATGTCCTCGTTAAATATTTTGTTTTGCCAGAACTGATCACTTCTCATATTACGCTAGTGTCGACTTCGCTGGTGATTTTTAATTTTTCTGTGTCGATTGTCCATGTTTTTTTATATTTTATAGTGGGGATCCTTGTGTAGGTTTTAGGCATTTACTTTTGCGTGAATGGATCAACCGAGTGACTTCAGGTTTGTAATTTTGACATAACTTTGTTTATATACGTTTGATTGAATCAAAGTTATTCTTAGAAAGCTTAAATATTATACTATAAAATATAACCTCAGACACATGTATGTTCGTTGTCGCCTTTTCATAACACTTCATTTTTTACAATAAAGTTGCCTCATATTATTTGATTCCAATCGCTGTTGATGAAGTGTATGATCAGTTAAATACCCAATATGGTGTGATTTTTAAAGTAGATGACATCTATTTGTAAAATGTTTCCAGACTTTTGAACGGTTAAATATTTATTTCAAATTTCAATATCCAGGTTGTTTGATTCATTCTGTTATGGTGGGATGTTTGGTATTGAATAGACCAGGCTATCGAAGCCCTAAGTTATGATGTCCACTGTTATAATAGATAATAAGGAATACAAGATACTCGCGAGATTTGGTGCTTTGGTAGACATAGCTTCGTACAATCAACAGTTTCATCAAAAATGTAAATATGATAAACATTTAGATTACGAAGTTAACGCTGCGTATTTAACTTGCTTGCTACTAATTTCATTAACAATGTGAAATATTTCACCAGTATCTGATTTAAACACTTTTTGCGTCCCAGAAGAACTGCATTCTGATCTACATGCTTCTTGGTTTGTAGACATAGGTTCAGTCAGTCGTACACAGGACTCTGGCTTGATAGGGAGACGACACGTGTACAATGGTTTAAGCGTGGAAAATCGATACTTATCATTATATAGGATTTGTTTTTTAACGCCGATTCCCAACACAACGTCCCGCCTATGACTTTCAAAACAATCTGTTGCTTACCTGCCTGCTTCTCTTTTGCATGGCATTCGCTAAAGAGAAAACATAATTAAGACGCCTGTACCCGAGATCAGGATATCTGTTCTTCAAGTGGAAATGTATAGATGGAAATTTAAATCGCATGTCAAGCGCTCCACGCCGGCTTAAAGAAAATCGTCTGTTCCATTCCATTTCCGATACATTTAACTGCAACTTTCAGATGTCCCCAAAGTCCTACCAGCTACCCATAATTATTCAGAATATACTTACTTATTGTGGACAAGAACATTATCAGGAAGCCTGCAAACATGGGAATGCTGTAACCAATTCTGAAAATAATATAAAATATTAATTAGAAACAATTGGACAGACATGAATTGTATCACCCAGGGCTAATGCTGACAATGCCACTAATTCCCAAAGAAGAGTCATATTCTACTTTATTTCTTTAATTATAAGCCCTTGTACAATATACAGCTCAAGTGCCATGGCAACACTGGTTCTTAGCTGCCGTTCACGATCTTTCCGGTGATTGAGTTGTGCGATATTCATTTATAAAGAAATGTATAAGGCGGAAGCGATATTCACCTGTGTGTTAGTGGACCGACAAAAGGATTGGCAAGCAGCTGGACGAACGCTTTCGATGCAAACATCATCCCCACTTGGACAGTCTCCTGAACCAGATCCTTGTGCCTCAACTTTTCTGGACTTAGCGTTGTTATGTTCAAATCTGGAAGCGTATATAAAAATTGATCCCTGTCATGGCTTAGAAATAATCATTTAATTCGAGCTATTTGCATGAGGTAACTCGTACAGAAGGTTTGCTTTTTAAATCTTTCTTTCCCTTTCTGAAGCTTTGTCTTTTTGAACATCGTATTTGAATCGCCCTTCAGGTAAAGCTGCGTTTAGAAAGTGTAGACGTAGAAGTTCTTACCTATATCAGTGATGGGCGATATAGTGGTAGAGTCATTCGGATTCAGGAACACTCTGTCCGCCCCCCTCTCGCAAGGACATAGGGGCACTGTAGGGGCCGGCGTGGTTGTCGTCTTGGACACCCTCGGATGTCCATCTAGCGGCGCATCCGGATGGTTGATGTCGTACAAGAACTCGGGGATGATAGGTACTAGAAAACATATTTGAGTTAAGGAATACGCTAGATTTATTTATTTATTTATACCATTAACGAATACAAAGCATTGACTTAAAAAATCACATTGTAATGCTTTTAACACTTCGTTGAAATTGATTAACAGCCCAACTAGCAAAGTGGTGCTATTAGTTTTTGGTGAAAGATCTGTTAAGCTGTAAAGCTCCCTTTTGTTGTTGCCGTAACAAGAAAACACTCTTGTAGCATACTTATGCATTAACCTTATAGGAATCTGCCACAATTATTACAAGATATTCTTCTAAATGTGAGCCAGAATATGTGGTTCCTACATGATAGGGCTCCACCACTTTTTAGACGAAAAGTTCATGAACGTCTCAATAATGAGTTTCCGAATAGACGCATAAAAATGTACTTTTTGAGGTTTCTCTTGGGAATGGGTATCTATCCTACTGGCTGCGCCAGTTATGTTGCCGAAATGACCGTTCGGGATTCTAAAAAAAAATTTTTTTTACAAGACTGACTACAATATAACTTGAAATATTTTACATTGGATAAAATGTACAATACGACGAACAAACGAGAAATCTGCGGAAAGCATGAAGAACCTCTATTTATCAACTCGGGCTTGGATGCTTCTCTCAGCGATTTTTTTCTGTGGGGCTATTTGAAAGAGTTGGTGTATCGTGATGGATCAGTAAACACTCATAAAGCCTATTGGTGCTTTAGACAGAAGATTTGTCTGTGCCCTCTTGCAGAAGAAGGAGACTTTATATTTGGATGTCAATCTAGGTATCTGGAAATCAATTTGCAATAGCAAAACAGGACAGTCGATGTTACCACGCAGCAATTTGTATAAAAATATAACCGATGCCTGCTCTCTGCGGTTTCCCAGCGAAGGGACACCAAATCTATTCGGCACAAGGAGACACAAAGCGAAAATGGTATCTCCCTCTTTCAGTCCTTTCGATGGCATTGACAGTCTATTTTTGGAATTGAGGTGCCCAAATTTCAGCTTCACGATAGGCTGCATATATCGGCCACGGCCCTGTTTGGGAGACACACACCTGTGCAGTCTCATTTCAGATCTCTTAAATAAAAACACCAACCTTTTCATAGCTGGTGACTTCAATCTACTTGACATTAGCTGGCCTATGTCAACCATTCCTGAATGCAATTCTCCTTCTGCTGCTTACATCGACTTGCTACGCAACTCTAGCATATCTCAACTTGTTGATCGTCCAACCAGATTCAGGGAAGGACAGACGCCTAGGGCTCTGGATTTGATATTCGTTAACGACGCCGACTTTGTTTCTAATTTAGATTAGTTGCCACCTTTTGGTAAGTCTGACCACTGTTCACTTTTATCTTCTCTCCAGGTCAATATAAATAGTCGTTCTACAACCGATAAGTTTAAAACCATCAAAATTGTAAACCACGATGCTCTTAACCAAGCGCTGTCTGAAGTCAACTGGCCTGCTTTGCTTAACAACCGTAGAACCCAAGATATGTGGGACACTTTCGCTCAACGAGTCCTAAGCGAAACGGCTGACAATACTGTTGAAAAGAAGATATACTGTGACCCCTCAAAGCCCTGGATCAACTCTAACATATCGAGGATGCTTCGTCACAAGAGATCTTTGTGGCAACGGTTTAGGAGGAGTGGCCATTCACAAGATTACGTGTCTCATCGATCCTTTTCTAACCTCCTATCTAGAACGTTACATAATGCCAAACATGCTTATGAACGAAAACTCGTTACCTCCAAAAGTAAGAAGATGCTATTTCGGTATCTAAGAACAAACCTGAATTCCAAAGTTTCATCACCTCAGATCCGCGACGGTGACGGTCATCTCCACATGGATGCCACCGAATCTGCCAACTTACTGGCAGAGTCCTTTAGTGATGACTTCGTCGATGAGCCTAATGGAGACCTTCTACTGACCACTATCTGCCATAGGTGTCCCAACAGCCTTTGCGAAGTTGAGTTCCTGCCTGAAGATGTATTAATGCACCTGCGAAATCTGAAGACCTCTTCCTCCCCTGGTAAAGATGGGATGACGGCTGCTGTACTTAAAAACTGCGCTTCAGCACATTAAGCTTGATATTCACATCGTCTTTTAGATCTCATACCCTACCCTCATGCTGGCTTAGTGCTTCTGTTACCCGTGTATTCAAAAAGGGCGACAAATCCTCCGCTAAAAATTATCGACCAATAAGTCTCGTTCCTATCGCCGCCAAAATAGAATAATGACCAACCTTCTCCACTCTCTCAACGATTGGACTCAGTATCTGGACACAAAGACTCCTGTTGATATAATCTACTTAGATTTTTCTGGGGCTTTCGATCGCGTACCACATAGAAGGCTTCTGTTTAAGTTGGAATGTATGGAAATAAGAGGCGAGTTGTTACTGTGGATTAAGGCTTTTCTCACCGGGAGGACTTTCTCTGTGCGCGTCAGTGATAGCCAGTCTCACCTTCATCATGTAGCAAGTGGAGTTCCTCAAGGCTCTGCCTTGGGGCCAGTGCCGTTCCTTCTGTATACAAGTGACCTGCTCGCATTGATTTCCTCCACATGTTCAGCTTATGCCGACGACACCAAGATTTACAATACTGTCGTAAATTCTGCTATGCTTCAACGAGATCTTGATATTGGTCAATGGTCAGTCAGTTGGCTTTTACCCTTAAATCTAACTAAGTGTTGTGTCCTTCACCTCGGGAAGACAAATCCGCGATTTACATACAAGATCTCTGACCACAACATCGAAGCAGTTTCCAGCCACACTGATCTGGGCGTTGTAGTCAACGATCGTCTTTCCTGGTCAGAGCATATTCACCACGTTACATCAAAAGCCAAGAAACTTCTATACATGCTGGAGAGGTCTTTCAAAGAATCCGATGTCAACACTTGCGCCTACATTTACAAGGCATTCGTGAGGCCAATTCTTGAATTCGCTGGCCCTTTATGGGACACTGTGCTTCTGCGCGATAGAAATCTCGTCGAATCAGTACAGCGTCGGGCTACTCGTATCCCTTTTGGAGCACGAAGACCAAGCTATGAAGATCGCCTTGAATTATTCAACCTGACCTCATTCTCTGAGCGAAGACTTCGTGGCGATCTTATAGTTACGTTCAGGATACTTCATGGTTTGATGGGCACCAACCTCATGCATCTATACCGTCTGTCGCGCAGCATTCTACGCGGACACAGCTTCAAACTGCATAAGGAGCCATTTAAAACAACAGTCCGACAGTGGTTTCTTCCCAACCGCATATTCAACACCTGGAATAGTTTACCTGAAAGTGTGGTTGGTGCTACTTCAGTTAATAGCTTCAAAGTGCTGGAGGAGTGTAAGAACTTTATAACTATGAACTATCTTTTTTTATTTTCTTCTATTTGATGTATTTGTGTTACGTGTCCGTACACTATATTTACTGCATGAGCTTATAGTACTGTGTACTCTGCTCATCTCAATTATCATAATAATAATAATAATAATAATAATAATAATAATTTTTTGGTGACAAGCCAAATATACCTGGAAACCTGTATTGGGAGCGTATATTATGATTGTCATATGGTGCTGCAGTTTGGTTTGCAAGAATTAAACCCAAATGACTTTTTTTAATAAAAAAAATTGTCTTAATTGGGCACCAGGGAATACAAGGCAAACACTCGAAAGGCTCGTCTACATAGCTCAAAAGTAACTGTGTGGTGTGCAATGTCGGCTTCAGGAATTATCGGTCCGTCCTTTTTTGAGAACCTCGTCGCATAGCCCAGACTGTAACCGGTGATCGTTATTGTGCAATGCTTCGGGAGTTTTTGGTACCTCAGCTACAAGAATTTGATGGCTTCGATCAAGAAACATGGTTTCAACAAGATGACGCTACCGCACAATCATGGAAGTCGTTCGAGAATTATTCCCGGAAAGGTCATCTCTCGCTTGGGAGACCTGACCTGGCCTGCTAGGTCTCCAGATCTCAGCCCATTGGACTTTCTTTTGTGGGGAACCTTACAAGTAAAGCTTATGTTAATCGGCCTAGGATTTTGCAAGAATTAACACAAAAAATACGGGAAGACTTGATTCCTGCCATTGTACTGAAGAGGTGTGCAGTTCTTTCGCGTCTCTTCCAGATATCTTATGAATCCGGCACCTTCCCAGAAAGTTGGAAGTTTGCTCATGTCCAAACCATCCCAAAAAAAGGATCTAAGACCGACCCTTACAATTACAGGCCTATAGCTCTGCTTTCTGTTATAAGTAAGGTGATGGAGAGGTACATAAATCGCGAGCTATGGACTACGTCACAGCTTGATTAGCGACTGGCAGTATGGTTTCAGGCACCAACGATCCACAGGGGACCTCCTAGCTTACGTCACGCAATTGTGGATTAAACTCATCCAGTCTTATGGTGAGGCCCATGTCGTTGCTCTTGACATCACGAAAGCGTTCGATCAGCTGTGGCACGCTGCCCTTTCAAGAAAACTTCCATCCTATCGCCTCCCAAGAAAGCTTTGCAGATGGGCGGCTGACTTTATCTCTGGCCGCAAGATATCCGTCGTAATTGACGGATTCTCCTCTTCATCCCACAACGTCAACGCGGGTGTTCCCCAGAGATCGATCTTGGCTCCGACATTGTTTCTTACACGTCACCGACCTCCGAAATTTGATCCTGGACACCCATATGATGGTAATAACAGAGCAAATATCGAGCTTTTTTAAAACGGTGTATCCGAAATCGTCTCTCTTAACGACTATCGCTAAAAGAGCAAATGATATCATTTTCGATGACGTGGCACTTTCCGGCACCTTTCACGGCACGCAGTATATCTATATCAAATCGGAGCGCGCATTAAACATGAATGGGGTGAGTTGAACCGCTTTTAGGAATCGCCAGAGCGGCAAATGGCACTAAGGGACACCGAATTCGCCACTTTTCTCATCCTCCGTTCAACACAGAACGCCCGAAAAGTGTGATACGCGTCTCGGGAGTCTGCGGAAAAATTGAGCGAAAGCGA